ATGCGGTCCCACGGCCCTCTGCGGCCCAAAGTTGAAAACTGATGTTTTTTCGAGGCCCTCAAGGTGGCGCTCACAGCCCACAATTGGGTCGCGGCCCATAGATTAAGAATCACTGATATATTGTAGTTTGTTAAAGTCTCAAACATGGTTGAACWCTGTTTATTCACAAACAGGTTTATTTGTGATGGCTGAAACACCCCAGACTTTCTTCTGTTTTAAGATCCTACATTTATTTATTTATTATTTACCGTTATTTATCCAGGCAAATCCCATTGAGATCTCAGATTTATTTTTCAAGGGTGGCCTGGACCTGAAGGCAACCTATTTTACATGTTTTTGGGATGTGAGGGAAACCGGAGTACCCGGAGAAAACCCACGCAAGCATGAGCAGAACGTGCAAACTCCACACAGAAAGACCCCAGGAGCTTCTTGCTCTGAGGCGTCGGTGCTGACCACTGAGCCGTTGTGCTGCTGCAATCCCTGGCCAAAAAAAACTGTCCATCTGGATTTAACCGAGTGCTGTGATGTGGGGTTACTGCAGTTGGTCAGGTCTAGGTCCAGCAACAGTCTGTGCTCACAGAATGAGGTCAGCTGACCTGGATATACTGAATGACCAGGTTATTCCATCAATGGATTTGTAAGCATATTTTGTGTTCGTTAACTGAAATCGTGACAAAAYCACACAAAWATTGAATAGATTAAAATGTGAAGAGAATTGGAACCATACAACCCCAGATCTGGTTACGAGCGAAGCTTTAATGCCTACGCTGAAGCAATCAGAGCAKTGCTGCCTGAAACTGGAAGTTCCGGTCTTTAAAAACAGGGATCTTCAGTGCCTGGTGCGCCCACTACAGGCCTACGGCTGAATCGCAGACAACTCGTACAGAAAATATCTTTCCTAAWGAATTTATAAMCRTATTTCTATGTGYTGTCATGATGTTCTGGGCGTGTACCTAAAACTATTTAAATCAGGAACTTAMAATAGTCAAACAATAGATTATAAAAGTCAAACCTTAAAAAGGAAACTAAGACAAATGGTGTGGTGCATCGTCGCGCTATGACCTCAGGAGAAACGAGGTCCWGACTMAGMRAGCTTTTGTGTGTCCTGGAGCACTACAGKCTGGGTTATACTCGCACTTTGGGTTGTTGCGCAAGCTCCGCGGAGTGCGCCCACTCCTGAGCCACGCGCTGTGTGAAAACATAGACGTTCACGTTATCGCTGTTCTTTCGTCACCGACAGATGGCAGTTCGGTGCCAAACCAGCTGAAAAGTAGTCGGGAAGAGTGTAGAAGAAGTAACGCTTGATGTCACACATAACAAAGTAACAATATTTACCTCTTTTTTTATATTATCTGTTTCTCCGTGCTTCACGAACTGAGAGAGCCACACTGGTTTGTTTCCTCCAGGATCATAAACCAGTTGCAAAAATTTTTCCATGTCTTCCAGCACATAACTCGTCTTTCTTTGCAGCCGTTGCTGTTTCCTTCCATGAGTTTTGTGCCGTCTGGTTGTCTTTACGATCTCTCATGGAGGGATCGTACAGATGCCGGTACATTTGGACCTGATCAGCGAGAGCACCTTCGCGACGAGTGTTGCGCAGACTATGCAAAGCTTCAAAATTTCTGAGATGCACGACCACACGCCAGGACACAACGCACGGGGGCGGGGATGCCGCGATTGCGTAACTTTTGACGCAAACCACCTCGCGCCCTGTGCGTCGCGTCAACTATAACCTCAGCTTACTTCACCTACACTGTCTGTCACCTCGCTGCGTCATGTATGGCAAGCCGGTGGGGTCATAAATCGGCGTATATTTACGTGCAAATCCGAACGTGCGGTTCCGTAAATAACGTGCGAACGCGCGGTGGCGTTAAATAACGTGTGGTGGCGTTTTCTACCCTAACCCTAACCCACCGCGCGTTCGCACGTTATTTACGGCACCGCGCGTTAGGATTTGCACGTAAATACAYGCCCGATTTATGGCCCCAACGGCTTGCAATAGTCATGTGCCGCGGCGCGCGCTCCTCCTGCAGCAGGCAGTGTGGTCGGTCGGCATCCGACCGGAGGACGCGCCGTCACGTAAACATGTAAACAGTTCGGCGTTCATTTTCACACACCCTAACCAGGTCCGGATAAGTTATGTGTTTTTTCCCCTCTTCATTTGCGCTCTCAGCCACGCTGCTTCCCGCTTCCTCTGTTTTGACTCCAGCTGGTTACATCATCAAAAAGAATTGCGCGGTTGGCCGGTAGACTACAGATCTCTATCATAGGACAAATTTATATCGTTTCTACCGTATATCGTTTATATCGCACATTCCTAGTGTGAACAGGGAAACAAGTAAAACATGCAGGATAGTGGCCTCCAGGAACAGGACAGGAAAGCCCTGGTACAGATTAWATGGGTGTTACAGTACATCCCTACAGTTTGGTTGTACCTTGGTTTTGGGCCATGGTTTGATAAAGGTTCAGTGCCACAGAAAAATAAACAAATGCTAGATGATATTTATTTTTCTGTTTATTTTAAATGGATAACTGTCCCAGAGCAGAGGCAGAAACACAAATTACCCTTGTTAGTAACAAGGCTCTAAAATAGTTCATGTACAGCAAGGTAGGATTTGTCAACTGGAAACATCACTATAAAATGAGGAAATCAAACTTTCATATTAAACTGTCTTCCTAATTTAGTGTTTACTTTAAACACTGTCTTACAGTGTCAAACGAACTATTGATAAACTAAAATAGAAAAGTATCTTGTTAAGAAAATAACTGAAAACAGGTGTTTGGTTTAAATTATTAGGCTTAAACTTATAATAAAAATATTTTTACACTTGAGTAACCTCGGTTAGGTGAATGCTCATGTGCTGTTATTCCACAAGCATTCAAGTGTCCACTGCTGGTTTGAAACAAACTTACAGGTCTCCTGAGTTTCATATGAACAAGTTGTTCTTGCTTTGCTTTGGTGTAGAGTGCTTTAGATATTATCCTCTGCCATTCCCTTTGTTTTCATTAGCTGTGTTTCCATTGACCATGAAAATGCGCAAATTAGAATTTTGAAAATAAATTTGCTCAATTTCGAGAAACAAATTAAGTTTTTTGACAAAATGTTTTTGCACTAGGATGAGCTGGTTTTTCAGCGTATCGAAATTGGTGTTTTTCGCAAAACTGCAATGGAAACACTTTT